TTTTGCGGTTTGTGGGCCTCTCACTGTTGTGGCCTCTCCCGTTCTGGAGCACAGGCTCTGGACACGCAGGCTCAGCGGCCATGGCTCACAGGCCCAGCCGCTCCGCGGCATGTGGGATTTTCCCGGACCAGGGCACGAACCCACGTTCCCTGCATCGGCAGGCGGACTCTCAACCACTGCGCCACCAGGGAAGCCCGTGTTGATTAATTTTTGAAAAATTATTTCAGAAATTTTATTAGCTCTGTCTCCCTTTCAATACATAGACAGAACCACAGGGTGTGGTAGTGTGCCGGTTTTGTTGTCAGGCCCTTTGGAAGATGTACAGCATTATTTGGGAGTGAACCTCCAGAGTACAGTTAGCCTGAAAAGTTTTTGTTTCTCACTTACATTCAGGTGATCACTTGTTTAGCCAAAGCATCTGACCTTTTCAATACTGAGTCTTCTGTTGACAGGTAGCTGTTGCTCTAGTCTAAGGCTTCTCACTGTAATTGGCACTATGAGCAATTAGCTTTTTGACTCTGGAAACCTTGTTCCCTGTAGAAAATTATCTTCCCACTTCATCTGACTTTCCTGCCAAAAATGATACTATTTCCTGTTATTGGATTTGATTTCCATCCTGCAGACTCTTTTTGCCAATTGCTTCATGGCTGTCAATTACTTTTTATAAAATGTTTTATACAATGTTTTTTATTTGGGAAAAAAAAAGCCTCTATAAAAAATTCCACAACATTATAGCAAAGTGGGAGGTAAATGTTTCCTCCCAGGCATACCCTTCTGGAGGTATGAGCCTCCAGAGAAAACTCCTGCAACAATACGTCATCCTTCTTGACTTTGCAAATAAAACCGAGGCCCTTTCTAATCAAAACTGCAAAGGATTGACCAGGTTAATTAATTCTGACAGAGCATCAAGGCAATCCAACAGGGAAAAGATAATCTTTCCATCAAATGGTGGTGGAACAGTTGGATATCCATATGCTCCCCGGCCCCCCCAAAATGATCCTTCACCCTTAACTCAACCTTATATAAAAAAATTAACTTATAATAGATTATAGACCTAAATGTCAAAGTCAAAACAATAAAACTTTTGGAAGAAAACAAAGAAGAAAATCTTAGAACCTTTCGGTTTGGCAAAGACTTCTTAAACAAAAACGATGAAAGGAAAAATTTAATAAACTAATTTCATCAAAATCAAAACTCTGCTCTTCAAAAGACACAGTTATGAAAATGAAAAGATTAAATTACAGACTGGGAGTAAATATCTGTAAAACATATATCTGACAAAGAACTTGTATCTTGAATATATAAAAAATTCACAACTTAATAAGAAGACAAACTTAGAAATGGGCAAAAGATTTTTAACATGTACATCATCAAAGAAGATATAAGGGGCTTCCCTGGTGGCACAGTGGTTAAGAATCCGCCTGCCAACGAAGGGGACACGGGTTCGAGCCCTGGCCCAGGAAAATCCCACACGCCACGGAGCAACTAGGCCCTTGAGCCACAACTACTAAGCCTGTGCTCTAGAGCCCACAAGCCATAACTACTGAGCCCATGTGCCACAACTACTGGATCCTGCGCGCCTAGTCCCCACGCTCCACAACAAAAGAAGCCACTTAAACAACAAAGAGTAGCCTCCGCTCGCCGCAACTAGAGAATGCCCGCACACAGCAATGAAGACCCAACACAGCCAAAAATAAATAAATAAATAAATAAATAAATAAAAGAAGATATAAGGATGGCAAATACACACAAAAGAAGATGTTCAGCATAATTTGTATTATGGAAATGCAAATTAAAACCGTAATGGGATACCACTATACAACCACAAGAGTGGCTAAAATTAAAAGACTGACCATATGCAGTGCTGACGAGGATCTGACACCCATACAGTACTGGGAGGAATATAAAGTGGTACACAACTTTGGGAAACAGCTGTAAACATACACCAGCCATTCCACTCCTATTTACGCAGAGAAATGAAAGCATAAGTCCACACAAAACCTGTACATGAGTGTTTATAGCAGCTTTATTTGTAATAGCTAAAAACTAGAAACACCCCAAATATCCATCAATAAGTGAATGCGTGAATGAATTGCAGTATGTTCATGCAATGGACCACAACTCAGAAATAAAAAGAAACAAACTATTGATGGCATGCGACAACATGGGTGAATCTCAAAATAATTATGCAAAGTGAATGAAGCCAGTAAAAAAAAGAAGCATACTGTATGACGCCACTTCCAAAAAAAAATCTAGGCAATACAAACCACAGTGATAGAAAGCAGATCAGTGGCTGCCTGGGACTGGGAGAGTGACAGATTACCAAGAGGTTTGAGGAAACTTTTGAGGTGATGGTTATGTTCACTATTTGAATTTCATGATGATTTTGCAGGTGTACAGTGGATATGTCAAAACTCTTATTGTACACTTTATATGTATTTTATTGTATGTCAGTTACACCTCAATAAAGCTGTAAAAAGAAAAACAAAAAACTTACAGAAAAAAGTCCTCTTCTTCATCTGAATCATCTTCCAAAAGATTTCTCTGTCAAAAAAAGAAAAAGACTTGAGTTTTTAGATTCCAAGGGGCTTACAAACTGTCAGGGGCAGAGTAATGAAACAAGTTCTATCCTGGTGAAATTTCTTAACTCCAAGCTTCCAGACACAGGGAAGAGTAATTACAGGTGCTTCACTGGAAGCTAAAAGATATGGAACCACACTGCAGACTTTCTAAGAAAATGCTTATAAGCCCGGAATCCTTTGACTGACCACAAGGTAGAGAGGTCACTGAAGCTGGCATGGGAGTGAGGGATGCAGGCAATCAGGGAGGGGCAATCCTTCCTCCTCCTCCTGCCTTCCAGTCTCTCTCTATCAGAAGAACCTAAGAAGAAGCTGGGGGCAAAGGAGAAATGTAGCTGCAGAGTCCAACTCTAGCATCAGAGAGAAGAGTATAGAAGATAGGTTTGGAGCTGAGAGACAAGGGTTTATTAACTGGCACAGCCCACCTAACAGCTACTCGGCCTACGAATAGCCCTCTACACATATTTGAACTTCCAAACAAAAACAACTTTATACTTTTACCTTATAAGATACAACTGTTTTTCTTAAAATGAGGAATGTCTCACCTTCTCCCCAAAAGGGGAAGATATAAAGTTCCAAAAGGAGGCTGAAGAAGAGCAAAAACCAGGCCTTTTCAGCATGCAAGAACTCAAACAGTATACAACTTGTCGGCCGAATAACGGCTCCCCGTAGATGTCGACATCCTAATCCCCGAAACCTGTGAATTTGTTTCCTTGAATGGTAAAAGGAACTTTGCAGAAGTTAATAAATCAAGGATCTTGAGGTGGGAAGATCAATATAGTGGGCCCAAAGTCATCACAAGAGTACTTAAAAAGGAGAGAGGCAGAAGTGTGTGTGTGTGTGTGTGTGTGTGTGTGTGTGTGTGTGTGTGTGAGAGAGAGAAAGAGAGAGAGAGAGAGAGAGAGAGACGGAGGGAGGGAGGGATGGACAGAGGTTGGAAGATGTCACCCTGTTGGATTTAAAGATATAGGAAGGGGCATGAGCAAGGAGGTCAGGCAACCTCTCAAAGTTGGGAAAGGCAAAGAAAGAGCTTCTTCCCTATAGGCTCCAGAAGGAACATGGCCCTGCCAGTGCCTTGATTTTATCCCAGCAAGATCCATTTTGGACTTCTGGTCACCAGAACTATAAGATAATAAATATGTGTTGTTTTAAGTTTGTGGTAATTTGTTAAAGCAGCAACAGGAAGCAAATACAACACCCATGTACCTTTTCTGAAGAAACTACTCAAAGAATTACACCAGCTAAAAAGAAAATTAAATCAGAACAAAGATCTTAAGATGGAGACTGACATACTCCGTACATCTAATAACATATGTGGTCAAATCTAAATGGAAGATGATTGTGAACTATAACTTGAAAGAGAAAAATGCATAATATAAAGAAAAATTCTACAAGAATCTAAAACTTTTCTCACAAAACCCAAAAGCAGGAAGTGGAGAGTAAAATGAGGAAGTTAAAAGCAAAGTAACAGGCTCATCTTGGTGGGGAGAGGAGTGGAGAAGTGGGAAGAGGCCTAGAATGAAAAAGTAGTGTGGAGGGGCATAGTTTTTGGCATGTTGAGAAAGAACACAAATTTAAACATTATTGTTAACATATAAAGTTAATTAGAAAGAGAAGGAAAGGGAGGAAATTTTTAACTGCCTAGTGGTCCTGGGAGCAGGGAAAAAGTGAGGAAAAATAATCAATCTAGCTAAAGAAGTTAGGGAAAACATAAGAAATACAATGAATAGCATTATCTCTATATATTATAATAAATAATACACAAAGAGTAAGAAAATGAAAAGAGGATGTGTTAAATATTCATTTAACAACTATGTTTGAGCATCTTCTATGTACTAGGCACTGTTCTAAGTACCAAGCATCAGCTTTGGACAAGACAGACAAGGTCTGAGCTCTTACAGAAAAACACCTGATGGTGATGAATGTTATGCAGAGAATTAAAACAGTGATGGGATAAAAAGTGACAGGATGACTAAATAAGATTAGGCTGTCAAGGAAAATCATTCTTAAAAGGTGAAATTTAGGCTGAGATCCAAACAATAACAAAGAGCCAACCAAAGATCAGGGTGAAGAGCATTCACTGCCAGCAGAGGGACTAGCGAGTGCAGAAAAAGTCCAAATATATCAGTTACCTTAATAAGTGTGAATGGTTTGAATGCTCCTACTCAAAGTAAAAACTATACATGATTAGAGTTCAAAAAAATTGCAGCCAATATCTGTTTATAAGAAATTTACCTAAAATAAATGTCAAATAAAGGATGAAAGAAAAAAGAGAGATGAAAGAGATATATTATCAAATTCTAACAAAAAGAATGTTAGAGTTAGCAAAAGTAATATAAAGAGATTATTTTAGGACAAGCATTAAACAAATAAGATTTTACAATGACAAAATGCACAATCCACTAAGATTTAACAGCAACGAATGTTTATATGTAACAATATAGTTTCAAAATACATAAAGCAAAAGCTGCTCAAATTATAAGAAGAAATGGATACATTCAAAAATCATAGGAAAGCTTTAACATATCCTTCAAAGATGGAGAAACCAGGAAGACAAAAAAATAAATAATCTAGAACTGTGTACTCAGCAAATGTTATTTTCAAATATCCAAGAAATGAATAAGCAATAAAAGAATTTTAATAAATAGCCCAAACTAGAAATTACACAAGTCACATTCTCTGGGCATAATGCAATGGAAATTAAAACAAATAAAAGGAAATTTTAAAACACTCTTCTGTTAAAATGTTAAAAGGTAATTGCAAACTTAACAAACTGTTTAGAAATGAATGACACTGGGAACATTACAAAACAAAATCTGTAAAGTATGGTCACAGCAGTACCTAAAGGAAAATGTGACCTTAAATCCATTTATTTATGATATTACAAAGACTGAAAATATATAAAATAAGTATTTAACTATTAAGATGAGTAAATTATTCTTAAGTCACAAACAACCCCAGAATCTCTAAAGAAAAAAAATTCATGAATTTGATTACATAAAAATTTAAAACATAAAGTACAATACCATACACAAGGTTAAATGGCAAGTAACAGGCTGGGAAAGAAATCTGCAACATACTTTCAGACTAAAGGGTCTGGTATCTCTCTTATGTAAAGATCACTGACAAACTAGTAAGAAAAAGACACATTATAGAAAAATCATCAAAGAAGAGAAATAGACGATTCCTAACAGAAAAAGAAATGGCCAATGACCACATGAAAACATGTTCAAAGTCAATAGTATTCAGGAGGATACATTACTTCCTTCAACAAATATTTCTAGCTAATAAGTAACAATCATTACATTTACAATACAGTTTATTTGCCTTAGAGGATGATGATACTAAAGTGTGCTTATTATAGTTGCCCAATGAGAAACACAATGAAAACGAATGTCTTTACACTTATTCACTGAACAAAAACACAAGAGCTAGGGATACATTATCAAAAAAGGGTAATAAGATACAATGAGATGTCATTTCACACCCACTAGGCAGATAATAACAAGTGTTGGTGAGGAGAAATTGGTGGTAAGGAGAAATGTAAAGAAATTAGAACTCTCATACACAGCTGGACGGGAACATAAAAATTGTGCAGTCACTCTGGAAAACAGTTTGGCAATTCTTCAAAAGGTTGAACATAGAGTTACTATAATACCCAGTAATTCTACTACTAGGTATTTACCCAAGAGAAATGAAAACATATGTAATGAAATGAAATGAAAATAAAAACTTGTATGTGAACATTCATAGCAGTGGTATTCATAGTAGCCAAAAAGTGTAAATAATCCTAAATGTCTATCACCTGATGAATGAATAAATAAAGTGTAGTATATTCATATAGTGGAATATTATTCAGCAATAAAAAAGAATGAAGTACTGATATATACTACAACATGGATGAACTTTGAAAACATTATGCTAAGAAGCCATTTACAAAAGACAACATAGTGTATGCTTCCATTTATATAAAATGTCCAGAACAGACAAATCTATAGATTTGTGGTTGCCTAGGGCTGAAGGGATGAGGAGAATGGGGGATGATTGCTAAAAAGTACAGAGTTTCTTCTTGGAATGATGAAAGTGTCCTAAAATTGATGGTGGTGATGGTTGCACAATTTGGTACTAAATACTAGTTACTAAAATCCACTGAATTGTACTCTTTTAATGAGTGAACTGTATGGCATGTGAATTATATCTCAATAAAGCTGTTATCAAAAAAGTGTTACAGGAAAGAGGAACAAAATTTTTTAAAGTTTTATAAAAGTAATTTATAAATTCTTAGAACCAGTTATCAAACTTCATGATCTGATAAACATTCAAAAGGAGGACTCTATTTAAACAGCCAATTTTTTTTTTCAATTCTGCTATCTAATATCCTATTTTTACAATAAATTGCGGTAGTATTCAACCAACAATGTAAAAAGAAAGTGCCATAGTTATGGTCTTAGAAGTAGAACTGATTGAAACTGTATATTTTATATTTTTGAGTAAATAAAGCTTATTCTAAAAAGTTTACTAGCAGTTAGTCTGTTGGTGGATTGTATCCCCCTTCAAGCAAAACAAAAACAGACACTGAATAAAGAGTTAGAATAAAGGGATGACAAATGATTCCTGTACTGTATTTCAAGATACTCCTAAATCATAAGATGTTAGACAGAGGTTCTAAGGTTGTGCAAAAAAGGAGCATGTAAAATGAAGTCAAACAGACTATCTGCAGAGATAGTGCCCTCTAGTTTTTAGCACAATGCCTAGCACATAGTAGGTAGTCAATAAACATCTGTTGCATGAATCAGAAAATAAAGGAATGGCAAGAAGATAGGAAGTGAGGGAGGGCTTTAGGTTGCTGGATGAAAAAGAACAGCTCTAATTCCTTTCCTCAATAAATACTTATTGGTAGCCTATCTACAATACTCATATCAATGCTATCTTCCAAAATGCTGCATAATTTCTAGATTTATACAATCCTGAACAGAATGTTCTGAAATAAACTAAAAATTGAACATTATATAAAAGCTACTCTGGACTCTGTGGCAACTGCAGGACCAGAATCCTTTATCTGCAATTCCAAAATCTAAAAAGTTCTGAAAACCAAGAGATTTTATAAGCTTTGGAGTGAAAACTCATTTGAAGGAAAATCTTACCTGAACTGATGTCAGCTAATTTATATACTTAATTAGAATAATCAGACACTCCACTGAGAAATATTAATATGTTTGGAGGTGCTGCTCTAGACCCCCAAAAGGCTCTTGTATAATGTGCACTAACTAGCTTTGTAAAATCTGAAAAATTCTGAGGAACTCCAACCACACCTGGCTCCAGAGTACTAAATAAGATATTGTGTATTTGTACAAAATTCCCTTTGAAAGACTAGAAAGAAGCTGGGAACATAATTTGGTCAATAGTGGAAAAAGAATTTGGTTGAGTCCCAATCTAAGTAACATATATTTTTTAATGGTTACTATGAAGAAAACAAATAGGATTTGAATATAGCCATGAATATTAGATTATTCTAAAACAAATTATTTACAAAGGAAGGAAAAGATATTTTGAATCTTTCTTTTTTAAAGATTAAGATTCTGAACTTACCCTTTCACTTTTCACAGAACCAGTGACATCATCATCATTTAGGTGGCGCTTAAACTTGGGAGGCATATTTTTTAGTGAAGAAGTACTCTTCTACTTCTCAGCAGAATAAGTCTTCACCACCTTAAGGAGAAAATAAATTTCATCAGATTTGAGACTTTGGGGTATAAGCTAAAGTACTGAAAACAGCGTACAAGGCCCTATATGGTGGGGCCCCTCCACTTCTCTGACTTCAGCTGCTCCCTCTCACCTGCTCCACTCCAGTGACCCTGGCCTCCATACGCTAGGCCTCAATACACAACAGTTAAAAAGAGAAAATGGAGGTAACTTTTAGAGAACACGTGGGGGAAATCAGCGAAAATATTTTTATAAAATCAAAGAGCAGCTTGTACAGGAGAGGGGGGAAATTAGGAGGTTGTCCCCTTGCAAGTGAGACATCAAATGCTTAAAGATTTTAACTTGGAGTCAGAAGATGGCAGAACACTTCTAATTCTCTCACTTTTAGGGAGCTGCTTAAACAGATTGTTTCTGTAAAATAGTGATTTCTAGGCTTCTGCATGGAGTTGGGATGGTCAAATCAGATTAATACATACATGCAAAAACATTCTGTCAATTACAACGTCCTGTTCTAATGCATAACACTAGGTGCTCCAAGAAAAGGGGTAAGTTTGGAAAGTACTGGGTTAAACAAAGCCAGGTTTTTTGTTTTTGTTTTTCTGGTTTGCTACAGAAAGTCTCACAGTCTTTTATATACTAATTTGCGTTATGATTTTCCAGGAAAATGCTTGAATACGCAACATATTCAAAATTTTCTTGAGAAAAAGCTGACATGCAAATACGAGTTTTCAGTATCTTGGACTAGAAGATGGATGAATAATAAGAATAGCTAAGGTGTACTGAATGTTTTACTATGTGTCAGGCACTATGCTCAGCGATTTACACATTTTCTTTTACTCCTTCGAAGTAAGCACAAAGAAACTAAGAGAAAACTAAGGCTTGGTAAAAGATAAGTAACTAATAGTGTTAGTCACTCTACTGATTGAAATATCAGAAACATAGGCCTAAATTATTAATGGCTGTGCATGATCAATTTTAATATTTATCCAATTAGTTGTCTATCAGGTTATACAGTTCTAGGAAGACCACTTCCCTGTAACAACCCAGCAGTCCTCTTTCCC